CCCGCCCCTCCTCTTCCCGCCGCGCCCCCACCTCCGCCTCGCAGGCCGCCCGCTCGACCGCCCACATTTGCAGACTAGCAGAGCGAGGCCGAGCTATCGACTTCGGAATCAGACCCGGTTCCCAGCCCTCTCGTCGTCCACCTTTCAGTTGAGGCATTCAGACAAGTCACGAACTGTCTTGGGCCTCAGTTTCTTCATCTGTAAAATGGGGCTGATTGTGATAGGTGATGACGATGATCCCTGCCTCTTAGCTTTGGTGGTGAGGAGTCAGCATCCTGTGTCTCCCAGGTAGTGACTGCCTGTGTGACCTCGGCCAAGCCATTGCTCCTCAGTGTTGAGGGAGATAGAAACTAGATCATTTCTGGTTGGGTGACTAGGATCCGTCAAACATTGTGCCAAGCACTGAGCCAGAATAAATCAGAGTCTCTGCCCTCAGGTGATGTACAACCCAGCGAGGAAGATAGGCAAGAAACACATAAACAAGAGAAAAACAAACAACTTAAGGTGGTAACTGCTAAGGAAACAGACAAATGATGGCATTGGGACCGTAAGGGGATCACATTAGAGCTGGTTGTCTCAGAAGGGACAGAGAATCCTAGATCCGAAAGAAAGCAAGGAATCAGGTGAAGAGTGGAGGAAGGGTGGGGGGGAGGAGAGGGAACAGACTTCTAGGCAGAAGGAACAGCATGTGCAAAGGCCCTGAGGGCTTATTAAGCTTAAAGAAATGGGGAGAAAGCAAAGAAGGGAAAATGGACGAGTGCAGTCGTAAGGCTTTAAATTCAAAACCCAAGCCTTATTCAAAGCTCATCGCTCACTCCGCAGAGGTTACTCAGTCTTTTAGCACAGAGAACCTGAGCTAGGAGCCAGCCCATCTGGCTGTGTGACTTCATATTCCTGGACTTCCCTTCGATGGCTGTTAATTTGGGACTAATAACCCCCAATAGTTCCACTGTGCCAGGCAGCCCAGAAGATCCCTCAGTAGCATTTACTAAGTAATCACATAAGCCCTCCCCAGCCTGCAGGAGCCAGTCTGGATGGGTTTGGGTCAAGACTCCAGACATGAGTTGGGAGGAAACAGACTTGCTGATTGATGGCAGGTGCAGAATTCCACTGAGAGTTGGGGGAGGGGGGTTGGAGGTTCTAGAGTCCCAGCTTTGCAGTGACACAGAACTGACATGACAGCTAGTATTCTGGGTTTTCAGGAAACGGAGTAACTGAGATAGATAGGTAGGTCAGCAATGAGTTAGCTGGGTTTCAGGCGCTCACAGAATCAGCGAGAAGGCGGGGAGCTGTCCTCTGGAAAGCGCGGCAGCAGGCAAGATGGCAGAAATGAATTTTAAACCCTTGATGACTGACGGCATTACATCCAGACAGACACACACACCAAAGCAGAGCTTCCTACGTGTCAAGTGCTTCTCTCAATGTGTAACGGTTATGAGAAAAATGCTACGATTGTCGTCATTTTAAAGATGAAGAAACTGAGGCACACAGACGCTATGCAGCTTGCCCCATGTCAGATAGCTGGGAAACGGTGGAGTCTGGCACTGGACAAGGCCATCCATTTCCAGAAATGATGTTATTAATTAACCCCCTTCCTGTGCTGACTGAATGACTCTCAAGCCGTGTCTCACTCCTTGCTGGATTCAGAGACTTAAAGAAAGATTCTAATCATGTGCCCAAGATCCCCTAACACTGAACGTACCAGGACTACTCAGTCACCTAAAAGGAAATAGATTGCGTAAGAAGGGTGGGAATGGAGGATCTGAAATGCTGTACAAATACATGTTCATTGCAGTCCACCCCTTGGGCCGCTCGACATGCTTTGCACCTTTATTCCCATGCCTGTTCCTCCAAAAATGCTCTCTACTGACACAATACAACTCCACATGCACCCCAAAACGTGCACACACACACATGCATACACCCTCATACTGTGTGTGACCTCAAGGAGGTTCACCTCTTGGAACCTCAGATTCATCCTTTGTAAGACAGAGAGAATACTGTTTACTTCCTCACAGGACTATGGTGGGGGTGAAATGAGTTAATGAATGTGAGACGCTTTGCACTGCCCCTGGTACCCGGTAGAATGAACACGACAACCATAAAACGGTGTTGTGTTAGGGGCCAATGGTTGTGAAGTCAGCCTGCAAATACCCAGGCTTACATGTTGGATTGGACTGGATTCATCACACAGGGACTTTCCAGAGGTTTTTCCAAGGATTGCGCAAGTATTTATTTCCTCTCTCTTTGATAAATGAATAACTGAGTCGTGCTCCAGTTGCTACGCTGGATTTGGAGAAATAACAAAGCCCATCACTGGTCTTACACATGGCGGAGTGGAGAAATGGGGGAGCAGTGTGACGATGGGCTCTGCTACCGACGTGCTGTGTAGTTTTGCATAGATCCCTCCCCTTGTGGGGCCACAGCTTCCTCAGCATAAAAGGGATATTATAATCCTCCCCTCATGAGACTTATGAAAATCCAATGAAATAATTCATTGAAAGGGCATATCATACATCCCTGGCAAAAGGTTCTGATATTGATTCTGATGGTCTATTATTCTGATACTAGAGGCCCGGTGCACGAAAGTCGTGCAAGGGTAGGGTCCCTAGGCCTGGCTGGCGATCCGGGCCGATCAGGTTACCCGCCTCCCTACCTCCTCGCCTCCTCCTTCCCTCGCTCCCTCAGCGCCCCACCACCATCCCTGGCTGCCCACCATGTTGCGCACCACCCCGTAGTGGTCAGCGCATGTCATAGTGAGTGACTGAACTCCCGTTCTCCCGGTTGAACTCCCGAGGGGACACTTTGCATATTATTAGCCTTTTATATATATAGATTTCCAGGGCCAAGTGTCAGGACATCTCACAGGGGACAGTCTCACTTGGGAAAAGAGAGCTGCCTAATTGAAACAGAAGGTCATGGAATTCAGAATTCATTCATTCAATGAATATTTATTTGTTTCTACTATAAAGATAGCAAAAACTTGGCACACATGTGGACACACCTTCCTCTCCTACTCATGGGAGACATCATTCATCACTCATGGAATCAGAATCCTCCTCCACACAGAACCCAGACAGCTCTGTCTGATTGGCCAGAATAGAGTGAATACCTACCCCTGGACTGCATGCAGAGGGGAGAAGTTCTTCAAAGAAACCAGAAAGAGGAAGATGGAAACACAGGTTAAGCCAACACACGCTTTTTTCATTGCCTACTTCATAAACCCTGGAAAGAAAAGACACAGTTCTCTCCCTTAGCAGCCTTCTCTTCTTGCAGGGGAAAATTGAATGTTTAAATGAGCTTCCTGATACAAGATCTGAGGATGTGGTGGAGGAGACCTGCAGACACAGGTACCTCAGACACTGCCCCACCCTCTCCTAGGATGCCCAACATCTGGTGGCTGGGACACAGATGGAGACAATCCATGAGAACGAAACCTCTCGGAGCCCCTGAAACTTAAAACTTGCCTTGTTCAACTGTCCTAAGTAACAGCAGGGAGAACCATCCAGAGACGAATGACACCCAGTGCCACACGGCCGGCCAGGACAACTACCTGCCATACACGGTCTGCTCCTGAAATTGCTTCATGGCAAGTATGTCAAACTCCCGGCCGGCGCATGCGGCCCACCTTCGCTCAAGTCCCTGCTTGCCCACTAACTGCCTGGAGGGCCATGGAGGTTTGCCTGAATTCTCTGCCCTTCAGTCTTCTCAGCTGTACAGTGGGATCACTGACCTCTGCTGTGTCTCCCTCCCCTGCTGGCCATGAGGCAGTAGCCAGGAGCATTTGTCATGTCCTGCAAGGGACAGGAGTCGTGCGATGCATTGATTGATTGCCCATTCTATGCCAAGGACAGTGTGCTGGATGCTGGGGAACACGACAGACCGTCCCTGCCCCCATATAGCTCAGTGCAGTAGGGGATTAGATCCATACAATGTATGCATCACGCACCTTGTGTTGAGGTGGTTAAAGGTGCAGAGCTTATATCAAAGGAACCCAGTAGATTCTCAGGGTCTAGGAAGGCTGCTCTGAAGGCGTAAGCTCAGATCTGAAGAGAGGAAGAATTAACTAGTTAAAGAAGAACTAGGGAAGAACATTATAGTCAGGCGGAACAGACCTGCAAAAGCTCTGCGGTAGGTGAGCAGGTTGGAGGCACAAAAGAGGCAGAGTGAGAGGGACAGGGACCTGAGAAGAGGTGGGAGAGGTGGGCAAGGCTCTGCAGATCACAGGAAGCTTGAATTTTCTCCTTCGAGCCAGGAAAAGCCATGGGGGGAATTAAGGAGGGAGTAATGTGATCACTAGAGGAATCAAAAGATTCCTTTAGCTGCTGGGCGGAGGAGACAGAGGAAGGGGGGCAGGGGCTGCAAGGAAGGAGCAAGGGAGCTGCCATGGAGGGCTGGAGAAGAGTCTAGCTCTAAGGCCGGTGGAAACCAAGGCCAAGGCCCCAGGGGAACTTGGGGTTGGAGGCCCCAAGACCTGGAGTGCTGAGAGCTGTCCTACTTCCCCCAGCCCATCCCTTAGCCCCAGCCCCTCTGGGCCCTGCATCTCTAGGGTTTCTCTCACCCCATCCCCCAGTCCAGCCCTTTCTTGTTATTGTGGGACAGACTCCATCAATGACTCATCCAGGACTTGGGTTTCTTGTTCCAGCCGTCCTCCCCACAACCCCCTACTTCCTTCTGCTTGGAGCTCCTCAGGCCCGCAGTTCTCGCCCTTCACCATGTTGGGTGGCAGCCAAGAGCCCTGCCAGCTTGGGCGGCAGGTCTAAGAAGGAAGGAGCTGGCACCCAGCCAGCCTCGGGCACAACCCATGTTTTTGTGCTGATGTGATTTTGCTTATCCTCCTCCCCCTGC